CCTCCCTCCCTCCCTCCCTCCCTCCTTCCCAACTTTTTATGTTTAAGACTATTTCTTCACACTCTGGCTATTTCTCCAAATCAGTTATATCGAGGCATCACCAATTTGCAAAAGAGCTCTTTGGCTTGCCTCCTCTCCTTCCTTTTCTTCTTCCTCTTCAGCACATTCTATTGGTTTGGCCAGGGAGCAGCCTGAAAAGTCTAAAGAGAAAGGCCTGGAAATCAAAGAGGCGATTACAGCCAAAGGAATGAACGAAGGGGGTTTGGATATGGCCTCCGTTGCCACTGGAGCAAACAGGGAAAAGTAAGCAAGAGGGGGACACTTGCCAATTTGATCATCTCTGACTGGAAACCTCGGCGATGACATCAGATCTCTGGTGTGTCACAAACCGGGAGAGGCTTGCCATGTGGGACTTGTTAGCGACATATGGTTATCTAAGACCGCTTTTTAAAAAAAGTCTGTTTGACAATGAATTCACTTTTAAAAACCTTGAGATAAAATTTTACAAAACTAGGGTACAATGATGAAGAATAAGTAAACAGTGTGTTCCTCGGGATAAACTTTGAATAGACATCCAAGTGGCTGAAGATGTTAATGGGCAGTTGGCAAGGGCTCTTGTAAGAGAAGGTGAGGGCAGAGCTGGCTGGCCTCTGCAAGTGGACTCAGGCGCTGCTGAAGGTCAGACATTCCATGACCGGAAAGGAAGAAATCAAAGGAAAACTGAAATCTCTCTGAGACCCAAGTCGAGAAAGGCACAATTGGCTATCGAAACGATTCCCGTCTCCAATACTAGAGGATTCCTTCTGTCTTGGGAGTCTTGATTTTACATCAAGTTGTTTTCCTAAGTTTTAGACTTTGAAAAATGAATGCTGGTTAAAGTTCATGAAATAATGACTCATATCAATTGAGGTCTTGCCATGGAACAGGCATTGTGCTAAGCACTGGAACATAAAAAAACAAAACAAAATGAAAAACAAACTAAGAAAACCCCATGGGATCCAAAGCAGACATGCTAGTGGGGGAGAGGGGTGAATTATCTAATAATCATCTTGCCACGGCACTCCACCAAATCCTTATATATACAACTAGTATTTTCTAGCAGTCAGATCTGTCCAGTGCAGCTTAATGGAGTTTGAGAAGAACTAAGATGCGGCATATAGTAAACAACTAGGATTAATTTTTCTAAAAAGATACACCCTGACTATATTAATAGATTCAGTTAGGGTCCAGGATAAATCTATGAGAGATGGATCCACAGCGGATTAGTAAAGAAGGTGTGGTTAGGAAGGTGTAGTCTTAGCCATTATGTTCTGGTCATCATAGCCCCTCCCCCACAATTCCACCACCAAAACGTCCCTAGTTGTGACAGACCTGTGAACTGGATGAACCACGTGTGTGTCCCTATGTGGCGTGTCATACATTACATTCTTCACAGCTAAGGAGAGTCTTCCTGATGAGGCTGTGGAAGATGTCTGGTGCTCTCTCCATTTTCCCAGTGGTAATGGAAACAGAGACTTAAAAGTCACATCAGAGATTTCAGCCCAAGGTCAGAAAGAACTTTCTAATAGATCTGTAAAAAAAACTGAATATTTTCCTCGGATAACACAGGCTGGATAACCATCCAAGATGGTATCATAGGAAGTACAAGTGGATGACGCCCAAGATCCCTCCCAATTTTGAAATCTATGATTCTATAACTTAGTTTTTCAGTTAGATCTTAGATTTGGATAAATGGATAAGTGGTCCCTCTCCTATATGGAGCTGACTGCTTTACATAAAATTATTAATACATTTTCCACAGTCTTTTTGCTTGTTATGAAAATGAAATCAAAGCTCATCTTCTGTTTCTTTATTAAGCATGGCACTGCTACTTCTCTGTCTTCTGTCACCTTATGAAATGAGAAGGGCCTGTTCTTTGTCCTTGAGCTAATTAATATTTTGTCCCCATTACTGGCACATGTTCTTGGGAAGAACGGAATAGGAGGTGGAACCATAAAGACCTCGCCATTTGCAGTGAGCCTCCCATGCCACTGAAGGGAACCCTAAGATATTCTGGGGGGCCACCAACATTTCAAAACAAGGCAGTAATTTAAGAGCTAAGCCTGTCCCATCTATTTCTTGTATTCACCAAGGCTCAGCATGGCTTTATCTGCCTCTCCCCTTATTATTCTGAACTCTCTAATTGCCTGGACTCTTTCTTTCCACAAATAGTTCCATGTGCTGTATTCAACATTAACGTAGGGTGACTATCTGAGGATGTCTTCTATTCCTACTTTTAACAGATTAACAGCTAATAAACACCATGCAACACCCTCTCCTCTCAACCTCTTCTAAAAATACAGAGTTTGATTTGCCAACATTGGTGTATTTAAAGCCTCCAAGATTCCAGAGAAGACTTTAGAAAGTGAACTGTTCAAGGGAGGCCTGTTCAGAGAGGAACTTTTCCAATGAAAAGAGCCAATCAGTGTATGAGCAGCTCATCTGAGAAGAACCTCAGGGGATCTCATAGTCATTTCTAAGGAAAGGATATTTGCTCTCACTTAAAAGAAAACTTCTCACTTTATTCTTGGTATGCAAAACTCAAGAGAACTCTGGAAATGTATTACCTACGGAGAGGGACAGGCAGCCTGAGTTTCATCTGAGAAGGGAAAGCTTGTGTTTTCCAGGAAGGGATACCATGTTGTATTCTGGTGACTTACGTGCTTCTCCATCTCTCTTTCTCCGACCATCCCCACAGCCCCTGAACTTCCTCTTCTTCCACTTAGAAGTAGCTAGTTTGAAAGAAAAGTCAATAATCAGAAGCTGTGTTCAAAGCTTTAAGTGAAACCCCCATTAATACTCTGTTTTGAGGATATGGGATATCAGCAAGAATGTGTCTGGGGTAACCTGGAAAATTCTGCTAAAACGATGTCCATCAGCACCTCTTATATATGATACAGAGAGAATTTATTGGAGGGTCAAGTAGACAGTGTGTGTAGAGTTCAGTTATCGGATTGCTAATATCAATCAAACAGAAGCCTTCATCCTATCTGTAAAATATTGGATGTTTGCTGAAGTGTGACAGTCCTAAGTGTCGGACTCTCAAAACCAACTTATTAGATTACAAAATATAGATAAATATTTGCAGAAAAGTATTGGTCTTTTTTGCTTGGGGTATGATTTCTGAAACCAAACTTTTTCTTTGGCTTCAGGTACGTATTTCTTACTGCAATAGAAACGCAAGTGTATTTGCCTGCTTACTTCTCCTTTTATTTCTAGTGACTTGCTTGTCTCTGTGGATTGAAGGAGCCTTTAAAGTCACAGCAATTTGACAGTTTCATTGCCTCACACACCCAATGGTGGAGTTGACTCTGGGACAGACTGTGTCAGCGACATTGTCTTGTGCTAGAGAAACAGCCAATGCTATTCTCTGTTCAACTCTATTCATGATATTAGTGACCTTGACCTTTAACACTTATGGTTTTTTCATGCATACCAAACCTCCTTTGAAGCGAGGTCAGGGTGAAATTCCATCACAGTTACGACTTGCTGGCGAATAATCTGAATTGGGGTCATCCCTTCTTCCTCCTGCTACCCAGTGTCATTAGTGCCTTCTACTCTTCCAGACTAATTTTTCCTGATGGTGCCATTTCTGAGTACCTGCGTATATGCCACCTGCCAGACAAACCGCCCAGGATCTTTACAAAGTCAGTGCATTTCTTGGGATTATGTACAATTTCTGGCTTTTCTCTCTGCAGAACCGGCCTGGAAGCCATCATGGAGACTTATGCGTTCTGGAGACCCCCTGTACGCACGCTCACCTTTGAGGACTTCACCACCATGCAAAAGCAGCAAGGTAAGGCCCAGGGGGCAAGGCCCCAGTGATAGAGCTGGGGAGGGAGTGGGAGTGGACCTGAATGCAGCCCATCTGGCCCCAGCCATGCCTCCAATTTTCCCGGAATGATGAGAACGTGGTAGCTCTGTAAAGGACTAAAGCATCGTCACTGGTGCAAACAGGCTGGTCCAGGGGCAGCATTTCATCTGGCACCCCCAACTCTCTTCTCCTTCCTAAAAGCAAAGTTACATGCTCATGATTATGCCGGTGGCGAAATGACCTTTTCTATCCCTAAGCATTCATGTAGCCCTTGGTCTTTGAAGAGATCTTCATAATAACTTCATTTATTCATCATGGCAGCCTTCTCAGTGTTCTTAGTCCAGCTTTGCAGGTGAGAAATGCCTTAGCTCTGGACAGTGGGCATAAACTGCTCCAGGTCTGACAATGAGGAGGGGGCTGTCGAAAGTCCATGTGAATTTTTCAACTTGTGCTCTCTCCTTTTGCTTCTGTGCCACACTCCTCTCAAGTGGACGGGCTAGGTGGCCCTTCCCTCCCCTCAATGCTTTGGGCTTTTCATCCAATTTCCAAAATCCCTTCCTCTTGCAGCTCAGACTGGGAAATCTTTGGCCATTTGTGAAGATGGCTTGTGGGCAGATTTCAGCACCTTTTCTCAGTGCAGTCAGTGTCTCTCCCAGGCGCATGTACCCGTTCACCTGGATACCTGAGTGAAAGCTACCCGCTCACCTGGATACCTGAGTGAATGCTTTCCAGAGTGTCAGATGCCTTCTGAGTCTCCCTCTCCAATCTTTTCCTGTCCCAAAGTGACAATGATCAAAATTATGGATAGACCTTATTCTGTCCCATCAAATGGTCCCCATTGATAGAAGCCTAGTTTTTGAATTTGTGGCTTTGTAATTCTGGGACTGGGTTACATATTATATTACAATTCCTTCTCAGAGGAGCTTTTGGCAATTTATACACTAAAACAGGTTTGTAACCTAAAATGCTGAAATCGCTCAGGGTTAAGATGAAGATAGAGATGAAAAGCGTAGGCTCTGCAGTCAGACAACCTGGGTTAGGCTCTTATCACTGTTCCTTCCTAGCTTTGTGACCTTGGTCAAGTCCCTCATCCTTTCTGACACTTAGTTTTCTCATCTATAAAATGGGAGAATAGAATTCTTATGAGGATTAAATGGGACCATGCGTTTCAAAACTTAGGAAGCACTCAGTACATGCTAACTGTTGTCATCATCATCATCTTTGCCCCCCACCCCCATGTCTCTGTATATGGATACCTAAGAGGAAATGAATCAGGGACAAGAGAAATTGCCTTCCTTTTATGGGAGTTGGGAGAGATGGGCCCTTTTCTTGGATAGCCACTAGCTCTCCATGTAACTTTGGGCACGTTACTTCTCTGGGGCGTGGTTTCTTCACTTACAAAAGAGGGACAACTTTTCATGAGGCCATTTATATACATATGCTTTAGAGATGAAAATGTATCTCGTAGAGACATAAATAGGTATTACTTGACCCTATTTATTTCCGAGCTGGCTTCCTGCTTACCTGCCCTTGCCTTACTCATTGACTTTCAAACCTCTAGCTAAGTAGGTGTTTGTATCATGGAGGCTGGTAGGAGAGGTTGGCGGGGGTACTGCCAGTTCCTGAGAACAGGCATTGGTGATGACACTGTGCTCGAGGCTGTGTCCCAAGATTTCCCACAGGGCCTGGCACCCAGGAAGTACCTACTGAACAATGAATGAGGTCACTGGGTATCACTGTGGCTCAGGTAGGCAGGGTTACTGTCTGACTACATCTAGGAGCACAGCCACCTACTATGTGTATGGGTGTGGACATGGAGTGATGTTGGGGATACAGACTGAATTTCACCAGCATATGGGGCCATGGGGCAGGTACGGCATGGGGAGCTTGAGTGACAGGCTCAAGTGTACAGACAGCAGGTTTCATGGTACCTCTACTGAAAATTTATCGACACAAGGATGTATTGTTGACACTCTGCAAATAATGGTTTAAGAGAAACTGAACTTGCAAAGCACAACGTCACACTTCTTCAGTGACTCCCTTTTCTGTTGGCGGTGGTGGTGGTGGTAGTGGAAATGAGCTTGAATTATTGGATACATATGGCAGTGGGATGGGCTAGAGGAAAAGTCCATATTCTATTAAATAGTGTAATTGGAATACAGTTTTGAACTATACACTGAACTGGATCCAGATTCCCATTATTACAAAATATGTGGCTTGGTTTCTTGATGTTAATGGAGGACGTAAAAGTAACAATGCTCATGCCTTCTTCCCTTAAGAACGAAAAGTTCCAGTAACCCTGGACAGTATCACTCATAAAACGAAGAGAAGAGACACAGCTGTCCGTGTTGAACTGTTTTTGCATCTTAGAAGGCGTAGAGGGTGGTGAGCTTCTGTAGGAAGCTTGAGGGGCAGACTGACTGTGCAGCAATTCCCTTTTGGCGATGAGGGTATTGGTGTTGGCGCCGAACCTCAGATCTGGATAATGACTGACTCGCACAGGTGTCCCGTGTTCCCTCACGGCTTCAAACACATGGCCACCTGGCATGTCCAATGCATGACCCTAGCACAGTTTTGGGCAGCTGCTGCTGGAGGCGGGTCAACCATTCTGCTCGGATGAGATTAAGGAGACCTTGCTCCTCCTGCCCTTGCTATCTTTTTTATTGCTCTTTTATTTCAATCCTTCTGTTGATAACATTTCAAGGGAAGCCCTTAGGTGAATTAGCCACAGTTTTGCGAAAACCCAAGTCCTTCTGTTTTTAAAAACATATTGAATGTGTGTTCTCTATAGTTGTTTTCTCTTATGGGATGAACGCATGCAACTCACTATCCTCTGCCCTTGACACAAGAAAGAAACTGAGGCATAGAGCAGTCCAATACCATATCTGTGGTCAACAGGTGGCAGGACTGAGTTGAGACCTTCAGAGTGAATCTTTTAACGTGTCAGGACAGTTTCTACCAGACCACGTTCTTTTTCTTCTTCTTTTTTTTACTTATTAGAGCTTTAATGTTCTACCAAAAAAGTCCTTCCAATTGATGGTTCTTGCTCCACCCACCCCCCCAACAACTTGTGCCTTAACTCTAAATAGGTCCATATTTCTTACTTTTTTTTAATTTTTTTGTTAGTTTCAGGTGTACAGAACAATGCAATAGTTACCCTTTTCACCCTCACAAAGTAACAACCCCCCTCCCCCCATCCACTGCCCTCCCACCCCCGATATCATGCTTATCTATTACAATTCCATTGAATCCGTTCCCGCACTCTACTCCATGTCCCGAGGTTATATATGTATATATAATTATCGTTGACATACAGTATTATTCAACATCAGTTTCAGGAATACAATGCGGTGGTCAGGCCTCTACATCAACTATGAAGTGGACTCTCCAAAAGGACATGGGTCCATCTGGCCCCCTAAGAAATGCTTACAACATTATTGATTGTATTCCTCGAACTGTCTTTTTCTATCCCTGTGGCCAAATTACAATTACCCAATTGTATTGTCTCATCCCTTCCCCTTCTCCTTCATCCCCACCCCCCATATTTCATTTTTATGAAGTCAAGTATATGGTATTCAGACATTTTCATTTAGAATTAGGGAGGGAATTTATACTTTTGGAGAATCTGGAGATAGAAATTATATTTCAGGAATGACTCCTGCTTGAACACTGTCAGTGACAGGGACAAAATGAACTAACCAAGTAAGTTACGCTTGGGGAAGCTGACTGAGATAACACTGAGGCAGAAGAAAGAAATACCAGCCTAGGTCAGTTATGGCCAAGTTCAATCCTGTTTGTATGGACAAACCTGAGAGAGCTTTTGTGAGCAGTGTCTCCAAGTGATTTGACAGCTGTTGGGCTAAAAGGACCCCTCCTGGACCAGTGACACCAGAGCTGGCAGGGTGTCTCCATCTGTGGAAATGAGGAGACCTGCCATTTACATAAGTCTCCTCCGTCCCTCCCTCTTCTCCTCAACTGGTAGCAGACATCGCTGAACAGATTTCAACACCTTTAGGTGTTTTACTGTTTGCCAGGCAGTTAAAGGTTAGATTCTAAGTGTCTCTGTTGGTGTGGGGGTTTGTATTAAAGGTTGGTCAGTGAGAGGGATCAGACACCAAGCAAATACTGAGCAAAAGATTGGGTAGCAGCAGCCTTTGAACTACCGTTTGATCACTGTAATGACTCAAAGATAGCCAATTTCTGCAAATCTCATTTGTCCCTGAGATAAGGAATAATGCCCACGAGGAGCTCTGGACAGGGCTTAGAGAGCATCTCAAGTCCATCCACTAAAACACACAGTTATTGTTTACATACACAGTCCCTTATATTCAATGTGTCTGTAACAGAGGCCATGACTGACCTCACAGACTTGGCGCCCTCTACTGAGGGAAGGACACCACCATCCATTCAGCATCCGGATGTCTCTCGACCCTCTTCCCACCTACCATAGCCAACCATTACCAAGTTCTTAAATCCATCCCCATCTCTAATCTCCCTTGCTACCACCCCACTCTGAACTGTCATCATCTCCCACCTGACTTCATTCGCAGGCTCCCCTTGGTGGTAACGTAGCTGCCAGAAGCCCTGGACCTACCTCCTTTTAGGTTTAAATCTGATGGGAAAGGTCACGTGCCTCTCTCCTAAGGTTTCTAGCAAAATCTCGCTAAGTCTCATTGACTCTAATTGAGTTGCCCCTGAGTGGTGGTGGTGGTGGGAGAATATGATGCCTCAATTGTCCAAGTGTGAGTAACATGATTTCCCTGGAGGTAGGGGGAAGGGGTGAGAGTGGGACAGTGGGTGTTTCTCAGTGGGAAACCGGCTACTATTGCCAGAAGAGAGGCAAAGTAGTTCCGAATTACAATAACAACAGATGTACACTGCAGCAAGGAAGACAGTAAAACAAGTAGCAGAGAAACAAATGAATTAATGGAAAGTGAAAAACTGGGGGCAGTCTACCTAGAGGGTGTGGTAGGCATAAAACT